CCCTCGTCAAAATGTCTGAATCCCAAATGTCGAGTCTGGATCCAATGTCGTCAAGTCTCAAGTCACAACTCTCTCTCTCTTTGTTGTAGTCTGCTGATTCTGAGAAGTCAGGTGGTGAGAGGGTGAGAAGAGATGGTGGACTTAGAAGAGGAAAAAGAAGCTCTCTCTCTCTCTCTCTCTCTCTCTCTCTCTCTCTCTGTGTCCAGTTCTAACCTGTGAAGTTGGCGCCTTGATGCAGGTACCTCGAAGATGGAGCTGGAGCTATGGCACCACAGGTAAGTACCGCTGGCCTCCGCCAGCCATCTCTCTCCAACGCTACCACTACCAGCTACTAGCGCCCTGCGCTGAAGACTACTACTACAGCTATGAGCGCCCAGCGCTGAAGACTACTACTACAGCTATGAGCGCCCAGCGCTGAAGACTACTGCTAGCGCTAACTACTACTGCCAGCGCTCCTCCTGAGTGCTGCGGCTGAATCCTGAAGACTACTCATCCTACTGTCCAACTACCTACCCGTGAAGTGCATGGGAACTTCCTATGTACTACTGGGAGGCTGCTCTTGCCAATGCCGAAGGGAGGCAGGGGCTGCTGCTGCAGCTCCTGCTTGAGCTGTCGTGGGGAACAGGCCAGAAATAGCCTGTTCCCGAAACCCTGTTTTTGTGCCTGAGTCTTAGGGTAGGTCGAACACAATGAGGGCCTGAAAATGGCCCTCCGTTTCAGGCTGAAAAGCCTCTGGGCAATAGGCTGAAAACGGAATAGGGCCAGCAGGCCCTCTAGGCTTTTTAGGCTGAAAGTGCGGGACGTGCCCTGCAGGCCCGTGTGGCTACGCAGTATGCCACAGTAGGTGACACATTAGCAATGCCACGTCAGCCAGGATACATCAGCAGGTGACATTCGGCACTGACATGCAAATCAGCAGGTCACCTGGTGACACCTCGGCAGTGACATGTCAGCAGGTGACTCATCACTGGACACATGTCAGCAGGTGACTCATCAGCAGTGACACACAGTGAGCCCCAGGATTCAACCGCTGCCGCAATACGGCCCCAGTCCCGCTTGTGTCAGTCCCTTCGAAGACTTACACACATCATCGCAACGTGAGAGTGATTCAAAAAAATAAAAGTGCCGTCGTTATGTGTATTTTGCACATAAGTCTGGTCATCAATAGCACCGTGCATTGCAATCACGGGACGGCAGTGATTCGGGGATTGTCCTATGAGAGGGTGGGGCAATGACATGGCAAGGGAACAACAACGAGAGAGAGAGAGAGCGAGAGAGAAAGAGAGAGAGAGAGAGAGAGAGAGAGAGAGAGAGAGAGAGAGAGAGAGAGTAACCTCGCTGATGCCGCCCCCGGTGCTGCCAATGCCTTCACTTGCGCTGTTGCTCCCCCAGTGTCGTTGCTCATTCGTCAGGGTTGTCGCTCAATGCTAGCAGCGTGTTGGTGCCCCGCCACCCTCAGTCACCTCATCGCCCCGCCTCCTCCTCCCTGCTGCCTCAGCATCTCCACCTTGCTCAATTCGAAGCGCTCCACAGTTTTGAAATTGGGGACTGAACCTTGCCTCCTGCTGTGATTAGGTTCGCTCCCCGTTGTTTTAATCGGAGCGGACATCCCGTTGCTGGGCCGTGGTCCAGCCACCATTGGTACAGTGCAACATCTTTTTTCGAAGGAGGATTCCATATTTCGTTTTGCCACGGGCACACCTGTTTTTTTTTACGAGCCCGACTTTTTTTTCCCCAGGAGGGGGCAGGCTGGTGACTTTCCGTTTCCTGCAGCTCTAACTTTTGAAGTCCACAAGATGGGCCGCAGCTCAAAAATTTGTTTGCCGGGGAGGGGCGGGTGGTTCTTGTCGGTTGTCCTGGGTCTGTGGGTCGGGTGACCCAGGCCTAGAATTCACCCACCTGTCACCCACCCATTCGGGTGACCCAGGCCTAATATTGACACGCCTGTCACCCACCCAGGCTGGCTCGCTTAGACCCACCCTCATCCCACCCGTGCCAGCTTATCAAGACCCATACCTGACCCAATGCCTCGGGGGTGGGTTGGGTGCAGGTGGGTGGGGGGGGAGAGAGAGAGAGAGAGAGAGAGAGAGAGAGAG